TCATGTCTGGAAAAGACATTTTTCCTGTGTCCTTTGTTTAGAGGGTTTTACTAAAGCACTGAGGGATCAAGAAAATCAGGTAGGAAAAAAAATAATAGTTAATGTGTTTATCTAGGTGGTAGGCATATGGAGGTTTATTTCATTTTACTCTTATGAATGTTTATCTCTAAAGAGTTTTCCTGCCTTCATTCCTCATTTTAAAAATTCTGAAAGAAATATCCTCTACTTTATTTCATAAAAATTTCGGGAAAATCATTTCAAAATCATAGTTGGATGAGAAGATGAGCAGACACCCCGACTCAGAGATCCYCTCCCTCTGTGTTACTTTGAGATAACTGACTACATTACTTCCTCTTCTTTTTCCAAGATTTTATTAATGGAAATTTCCATAGAAAAGTTATCAGATTATTGGGGGGTTTTGGTGTTGTTTTTTGTTTTCTGGTACTAAGGATTAAACTCAGGGTCACTCATCCACTGAGCCACATCCCCAGCCCTATTTTGTATTTTATTTAGAGACAAGTCTCACTGAGTTGCTTAGTGCCTCACCATTGCTGAGGCTGTCTTTGAACTTGCCATCCTCCCATCTCAGCCTCCAGAGCCACTGRGATTACAGGCATGCACCATTGCGCCCAGCTAAGTTTTTTGAGTTCTCTATGTATTCTGGATATTATCCTGTCAGAAGATCAACAAAGATTTTTCTCCCATTATGTAGGTTCTCTTTCACTTTTGCATTGCTGGGGAATTGAACCCAGGGCTTCACAAATCTTAGGTGTACAAAAGCTTTTTAATTTAATGCCATTTCATTTATTAACTTCTGGTAATATTTCTTTGGCTTTAGAGGTCCTATTGAGAAAGTCTTTGCCTGTGCTTATGTTTTGGAGTATTGTGGTATCTTCCTTTTTTTGGTAGTGGGGATTGAACTCAGGGGCACTTGACCACTGARCCACATCCCCAACCCTGTTTTGTATTTTATTTAGAGACAAGGCATCACTGAGTTGTTTAGTGCCTCAGCCTCCTGAGCTGCTGGGATTACAGTTGTGCACCACACATCCAGTATCTTCCTTTTGATCCGAGTACCTTTTTATTCTAGTTGTCCTATTGCAATGTGCAAGACCCCCAGTAGAAAGCAAGGAGAGGGCATCCTGCCTTATACCCAGTCTCACAGAAAAGAACTCAAAGTGTTTTTACCATTAATCATAACATTAGTGTTTCTTTCTATTCTTAGAGTTTTACTATGAGTGAGCATTGAATTTTGTCCCACTTCTGCTGCATCTGTTGAGTTGATAAGATTTTTCTCTGGATGATTGGATTTTAATTTATTACTACAACCTCAAGTGGATACTTGCCCATGGCTGCTGGTGGCCCTGGGTTGTTCTGATAACTGTATCTGCTACTCCTGCCGAGGTGATCATCTCAGGCCACCTTTACTTGGAAAACCTCCCACCAGTAAAAATACTCAGAGCCAGTAAAAATACATGATCCAGAGAGGAGCTAGTGCTTCCTCAGAGAGTCCCTTCTCCTTCCTTCTCCAGGTGACCACCCACCTATATCTGGTCCCATCTCCTCTCCTCCCCTCTGTTCAGCTGTGAAAAGGGGATTCCCATTGTATTAAAACCAATCCTTCTGCTAGATCCCTTCACCTTCCAGTTTATTCAGAGATTTGGTCCCTCCGTTACCTTGTTTCTACTGCAGCATCTATCAGTGTGTTCAGTAGCTCCTCTATTTGAAGACAAACTTCTCTTGACTAAACCTGTCCCTCYATTCCCTCCCCACATTTCTGCTTCTGCACAGCATAACTTCTCCAGGGGCTGCCTGTGCTCTTTTTCCATTTTTGCACTGCTGTCATTTCAGCTTTCATAGGCACATGCCCATCAGAGGACTCGGGTTTTTCACCACTTTGTCTTTGAAAGTGACTGAAAAGCCCCATGAGTTTGGCTTACAAACAAACTTTAGCAAGAGGCAGGATCACAAATACAGAAACTGAATTGTGAGGATCAATTTGGAATTTGGAACTGAGCTCTTTTTTGGAATTTGGAACGGAGCTCTTTCTCTCCTGATTTAATGTAAGGGGCTAGTGAATTTAAATAAAATTTACTCTTAATTAAAAACCAGGGTTTATATAGAACAGGGTTTCCTATAATCTGTCCTAGTCCTAGCATTCATAAAGCTGGAAGTCTGACTGKTAGTTCACCATTGAGGAAATTGATTCCTGGCCTCACAGCTGGTTACAGTGGAGCCAAAAGCCAGAATCTAATTTTTAAACTGATTTTCCTGAGCCTCCTCCCCAGGTCACTGTTGAATCCCCAGTATCTACCAAGACATACAGCAATGGCACTTGGCCACTACATTTTTTTTTTTTTTTTTTTTTTAGTTTTAGGTTGGCACAATGTCTTTATTTTATATTTATGTGGTGCTGAGGATTGAACCCAGGGCCTCACAATGTTAGGCAAGCCTCCGCCATGGAGCCCCAGCCCAGCCGTGTGGCCAGTACAAATACTAGAGTGAAAGCAGCTAAWCATCACCAAAAGCAGTTTTGCTAATTAAATGCCACAGATTAGCCCATTTTTAGAGGTGATGCAGTTTAAGAGATTTTTTTAAATGTTTATTTTTTAGTTGTAATAGGACACAATACCTTTATTTATTTTTATGTGGTGCTGAGGATCAAACGCAGGGTCCTGCATGTGCYAGGCGAGCTCTCTACCACTGAGCCCCAGCCCCAAGCCCCTAAGAGATTGTTTTTCAAAATGCTTTGAAGAGTTTGAAAATAGCCACAGTCAGGCCCAAGGTCCACTTTCTGCCATTCACCCATTATCTAAGGAGCTGCTTCACTGCATTGGACARTGTTAGACCTGCACTCAGCCAGTCTTCTGGTCCTTACCTGTCGGCCCAGCCAGGAGCTCTGTTCCTTAATGCTCTTAGGACTGGTAAACACTGGAAGCAAGGACATGGACATAGTTGAGTGTAGCCAACCTGTGAAACTCCAAAGAGAGTAAGCTGTAAGAAGGGGGAGTCCAAAGGGGATGGCTGGTAGCAATGGAGGCCCTCAGCCCAGCCCATGCTGCTGGGGCCGCCCTGAAGACCTGTCTTCCTGACCCTCCTAATACCTTACCCTCCCAGCAACTTATTATCATGACTAGCATCCCTACAGGTTTCCTGAGGGATAGAAGAGGCCAGTCACCAAACCTGAGCCTCTGGTCCTCAGAGATTCTTTGTGCTGCAAATAATTGGCATCTGTCTCTTCTGAGTTTGTCTGGTCTAGTGGCTGGATGCTGCTGTACATCAGGCCCTTGGGAAAATCCTGCCTCCAGGAGCCAGCAGGGATGCTTATGCTCTGCCCTTCCTTGCAAGTCAGATCCTGGCAGAGTTGGCACCTTCTGTGGCTGCAGCCAGGCAGAGACAGTCATAGACTGTACCTCTGCCTCCCAGATTCATCGCTCTGGCCTCTCCCCAGTGGTGGCAGTCCTTTGGGTTTGATCTTAGGAAGAAAGGTTTTCTTACTGCTGTAGGAAAGAAGTAAATATGTTCTGTATGTCAGCTGGCTAGGTAAAAGCAACCATGAATCAACTATTAAAGAGCTCAGAATTGTGTACTTGGATTTACTGCCCATTCCATTCTGAGTAATGGCAAACCCTTACTTTTTGTTGTTGTTGTTGTTGTTGTTATAAATATGTGCTATGCACTTTGGATATGTCTGGTTCTTTAGCTGACATCTAGTATGTTAGTGCCTAGGCTAGTGCTCAACACATTTGACTGTTAAATTCATGTTGAACTGATTGATATTATGTGCTTTCTTAGAAATACTAATGTTCKGGCTGGGGATGTGGCTCAAGCAGTAGTGCACTCGCCTGGCATGCACGGGGCACTGAGTTCGATCCCCAACACCACATTAAAAAAGTAAAGATATTGTATCCACCTTAAAAAAAAAAAAAAAAACTAAAACATAAAAAAAGAGAGAGAGAGAGATACTAATGTTCCTTGACTTAACAACGGGATTACCTCTCCACAAAGCCAGCCTAAGTTGAAAGTACCAGCCATTGAGACCACATGACTACATCTGACATACTGAACATTGAAATAAACAACACAGCATCCTATAGGGGTGGGTTCTTTCCTCTCATGATCATAGAACTTACTGGAAGCTGCAGCTTGCTGTTGATGCCTAGCATCACAACAAAATATATTACATGTCACTAATCCAGGGAAAGATCCAAACTCAAGATTTAGAAGTGTAGGTTCTCCCAACTGCTGGTCACTTTTGCACCATTGTAAAGTTGAAAAACATAAGATAAACCATTTTAAGTTAACAGCCATCCGTAAGCCAGGCACATTGACACATTCCTCTAATCACAGCAACTCAGGAGGCTGAGTCAGGAAGATTGCAATTTTGATGCCAACTAATGAGACCTTGTCTCAAAATAAAAAGGGTTAGGGAGGCTGGGGTTGTGGCTCAGTGGTAGAACGCTCGCCTAGCACGGGTGAGGCACTGGGTTTGACCCTCAGCACCACATAAAAATAAAGACTTGTGTCCACCTAAAACTAAAACAAAATATTTAAAAGAATTTAAAAAGTGCTAGAAATGTAGCTCTGTGGTAGCTGTACCACACCCCTGAGTTGAGTCCTCCATATGAAAAAAAGAAAAGAAAAATCCTCTATGGTTTATGTCTTAATGAGGTGGGCCCTCTTTCAGTTGATCTTATAGTTTGGTTTTCTAAACTAACAAGTGTGTATTTAAGTCACACCATTGAAATCCAGCAACAGAATGCTTTTAAATAATTCTGTAATTTGCCTTTTGTGTGAATTTTCACATAGGGGCATGGCCCTCACGTATAGTGACARCATTTCCCTGGCTCCAGATGATCAGAACGCCATTCCACCCACCCCCACTGTCTTGTGCGGCTCTACCTCACATGCCACTTCGCTGTGCATTTGTTTAAGAGCAGGTTTTGCCTGTTTACTTGGAGAAATACACATCTATGTGTTTGTTTCTTTCCTGATGGCAGCTGACACTGAAGATGTGTGTATCGTAGAGAGATTGTTCTCAAGCAGCCTGGTGGCCATCGTCAGTCTCAAGGCTCCCAGGAAGCTAAAGGTTTGCCACTTTAAGAAGGGGACCGAGATCTGCAACTACAGCTACTCTAACACCATCCTGGCTGTGAAGCTCAACAGGCAGGTGAGAGAGTCAGAACCGCAAGAGTGCTTCCAGCATGGTCTGGAGCAGAGTACGCAGCTCAAGGCCCGTGGCCCTCCGCCCATGTTGTATGCACGCATCTTCACTCCACCAGACGCACTGCTGTGTGCGCTCATTTCACCAGCTTTGCTCAGACTGTCCCATTTATGACATACACCCTTGTTTAGCCAGAGATGTCATAGTCTTTATTTACCTATTACCTTCTTTTGCTTTTTAAATGTTAGTTCTTAAGAAAGCAGCATAGGCCATAAAATGCTCAGCATTTTTCGTTTACAGCAGCCTGTGTGCTCTGCAGGGAAAGCTGCTCAGCAGCTAGTTACAGAATGCGCTTCATAACTAGTAGCTAGATTTTAACATGTGACTGGATAAAATAATTAACTGACAAAAATTGGTTAAACTAGGAAATTATATATTATATAGATATTAGATATTATATCAATATCTTGAACATTTTGTAACTGAAGACATAAAAATGTTACCTTCACCTTGAATGAAATTTATATTTTTTAAAAGTCTTTAGGCTTTTATTTTTGTCTTTCCCATGCCTCATTCAGAATTGTTTTTTTAAAGCAATGCCTTTGCCAAATCTCTCTAAAGCTCGCTTCACTTAGCTRTAGTTCATCAGTTTGTGATCTTAAACCAAATCACCTCCATTAGGATTCCCAGAAAGTTGACTCTAGGCACCACCTGACTGGTGGTGGAAAGCCAACTGTATTCTCTGAGTTTCAGGCCTCAGTCTACATCGTGTTCTAGAAGGAATTGAGAGTATCTTAGTTCAAGAGTCAGTTAAATGAGTTAGTTCAAGAGTCGGTTAAATGGGTTCTGGGTGTTTCTTCACATTTGGTTTTCTCTGGTTTTTCTAGAGGCTCATCGTGTGCCTGGAAGAGTCTCTATATATACACAACATTCGGGACATGAAGGTTCTGCACACTATCAGGGAGACCCCCCCAAACCCTGCAGGTAAATTGCTTTGTGAGGAAAGAATCCTATTTTTCTCATTTTGCCTTTAAAAGATAGTTTAATGTTCATGAGGCAGATTTTTTTTTCTCTTTATAGGTTGCACAGATGGGACAGGTTTAAAAAGTATCCATCTTAAACCAGGCTACATTATACAGTCTTGTGACTGTATAAGCTCATTGGTTTGATTAACTTTCAATTCTGAGGTTACTGATCATTTTCAACCAATGCTTTAATCTGTATATAATACTGGTATCAAGATGGTGGCATGGGGGTATAGAACTTTTAAAAGATCTATTAGGTTTATCAGAACTAATTTTTATTTCTAAAATGCCAAGTCTAATGTTTAGTAAATGCTAAATTATATCTGATAACCAAGAAGGAACTCTCAGATTTGACCTGCATTTGTTATCTGCATCACTCACAGGCTTGTGTGCACTGTCAATAAACAACGACAATTGCTACTTGGCRTATCCAGGGAGTGCAACCATCGGAGAGGTTCAGGTCTTCGACACCATTAACTTGGTGAGGTTCCTTTTGTGCTTGGATAACCCTTTAAAATGTGTCTTTTCCTAAACGTGCGTGCCCTGGCATGTKCGGCCTCCGGACCCCATCAGCACAGCAGCAGTCTTCACTCTCTACCCTTATGGTAAAGCAGGATTTATTAAACCTGCCCCTGTGCTCTCACAGGTGCTGAGCTCCTGGCAGTGTGCATGTCTGAAGGAACGTAGGGAACTTGTGGATGAATTATTCTGTTTTGTGGAARTCTGAGCAGTGTTTCTGAAGGTCCCATCCCCAGATAGTCAAGGGGACTTGGTATTTGTGTTGACCATAATGGTGGTTTGGTGATAGCCATTGGCATTTCTGCCTGATGGCCAAGTGATAGCCCAGGGGCAGGGSCTCTCGGCACATGGCAGTCAAGTTTAATTGGTTTCCCCTTTTCAGAGAGCTGCAAATATGATCCCAGCTCATGACAGCCCTTTAGCAGCACTGGCTTTTGACGCAAGTGGAACCAAACTTGCCACGGCTTCTGAGAAGGTATGTCTGCTGCAGCAGGTAGAAAACCAGCTTGAAGGTTCAGTAGGCCTTCAGTTATTTTCACACAGCCAGTTTTCAAACATGTCTTCATATCAACCAACTCACAGAAAAACAAGGTACTAACAACCCGGTAGTCAGCTGTCAGTGTGCTTCTGCGAAGTAAGTGACATACACAGTGTTAGGCAACTTTCTATCACTGTGACAACATATCTGAGATAAATAACTTACGAGGAGGAAAGGAATTTCAGAGGTTTCAGTCTGTTCTTGGCTGAGGTGTTGGCAGAACATCATGGCAGGAAGCCTGTAACAGAACCTGTGGTAGAGAATAACTGCTCCCTTCCTGGAGGCCAGGAAGCAGAGAGAAGATGGGGCCAGGGTCACAGTGTCCCCTTTAAGATTCCCAGTGTTCTAACTTCCTCACACTAGGCCCCACCTTSTAAAGTTTCACCATCTCCCACCACCACCATTAGCTGGTGACCAAGCCTTCAATACATGGCCTTTGGAACACATTTAAGATTCAAACCTTAACCCTCTGCCACTGTCTGACAAGAGTGTTAAYACATTTGTGGTAGAAAATAATGTGCCATGAAGATGCTTACCCCAGGGTCTTCAAATTAAGCAACTAATATATCCTATGGTAGAGAACTTGGAAAATAATGAAAAGTATAAAAAATCAGACACAATTCTGTTATCTGGTTGATCCGAATGCATTTCAAACACTTTTAGTGGCTGTACAGTATTTGATTTACTTAAACATCACCCTTTGGGGGACATTGTTTCTAATATGTTGCTATTATAAGTAATAGTATATTTAAATCATGTATTTTGTATGTATATATTATATATTTACTTGTCAATGGATCTTTATGTGTTTATATGTGGTGTTGAGATCGAACCTTGTGCATCTCACATGCTAGGCAAGTGGTCTATCACTGAGCCACGACCTTAGCCTCAAGTCATGTATAATATTTTATGTGTATTTTTGTAATACAATCCATTAGCATCTTTTTTTTTTTTAAGTTGTTGATGGACTTTTATTTATATGTGGTGCTGAGAATCAAACCCAGTGCCTCACACATGCTRGGCAAGTGCTCTACCACTGAGCTACAGCCCCAGCCCCTTTTATGTGTATTTTTAATATTAAAAGATTCCAGTAATAACCAGGTGCAGGGGTGCACGCCTATAATACAGCAGCTTGCGAGACTGAGGCAGGAAGATCAAAGAGTCCAAAGACAGCCTCAGCAACAGCAAAGCGCTAAGTAACTCAGCAAGATCCTGTTTCTAATAAAATACAAAATAGGGCTGGGGTTATGGCTCAGTGGTCARGTGCCCCTGAGTTCAATCCTCTGTACCCCCCAAAAAATGATTCCAGTAATATTGCTGGGTTATAAGGATACAGCCTTTTGGGGTTTGGGGGGGTTTGTTACTGTTTTGGGTTAACTGGGTCAGGGGGCACTGGKATTGTTTGATTTTTGTTTTTTCTTTCTTTTGAGATGAATTCTCACTTTGTTGGCCAGACTGGCCTCCATCTCCTAGATTCAAGTGATTCTCCTGCCTCAGCATCTCCAGTAGCTGGGACTGTAGGATATGCCACCATTCCTGTGCCTATTTTTTTTTAAGTGAACATGTAATTTATTTGACTTTCAAACTTCATTTAAGACATGTTCAGTATGGATTTTTACTGGGGCTTAACCCTGTTGCCTGCTGGGACTTTGCAACAGGGTCTAGTACACTTAGCACTGAATAAATACTTTATTGAATGAATACAATTCCAACCAAAATGCATTCACAGATGCTTTGTAATCGGATTCAAAGACCTGTCTCATCAGACTAATGACAAACACAGTAGAGGTAGGTAGGTTAGGTAGGAATGGCTGGTTCTACATAACACTTATGGTTTTTAGTCCACAGTATATTACTAGATGATAGAGTGTATCTAATACATCTCTATGGAGCTGGGAAATAAATTTCTAGAAAGGATTTTACCCCATCATTTATACCCTCCCCAGTTCTACTCTAAAGGGATAAAGCCAGTGATTGCCTCACAAGAGCTCATGACTAATGTTGCTTTGTGATCAAAATCTGTATTTCCAACCCATTATGAGCTCTAAGACAAGATTCAGACATTCCTGAAGAGTGCACTTGTGAGCACATGTACTGCCTTCAAAACCATCTTGTCTCATGTCAGGCACAGTGGTGCTCTCCTTTAATCACAGTGACTTGGGAGGCTGAGACAGGAGGTTCACAAGTTTGAGACTAGCCTCAGCAACTTAGCAAGGCCTTAAGCAACTTAGGGAGACCCTTTCTCAAAATAAAAAGGGCTGGGAATGTAGTGGTAAAGCACCCCTGGACTCAATCCCCAGTCCCCCCCTCCCAAAACAAAACTGTCCTTCTMATAAGAATCAGATCAGAGACTTTCTATATTCATGTAGAAAATGTCATGAGAATTCCCTTGTCTTCAGMAGCAAAGTTTATAGCCACACCATTCCTCCAAAGCCTTTGCATAGCTGGTAGGTGGGTTAGAGTCTGTAACCAAAGATACTTGTTGCACATCAGTCCCATGAGCTAGCAAGTCAGTAGTGATCAGAACACAGCCTGACCCAGTGGTCCTGGCTGCTGCAGGGGGGACAGACAAGTATGGTTAAGAAATAGCTTTATTTTGAGCAGGACTAACGACAACAGGTGTGGCCTTTCTAAAGCCCATCTGTGCATAGGTCATAGTGGCAAGCTGTGGCCTTCAGCCCCTCTAACTCCACCTCCTCATTCTCTTTCTGGTTTACCCTGCWGCCTCTTGTCCCTTTGTTGTTCCTCTTTGCCTCAATGCTTGTCCTCCTGTCTGCCTCGTAGAGATGAATTTGCTTTCCTGTCTCTCTGAGCAGCAGTTCAGAAACAAGGCATTTTTTCTTCTGAATTCTTTCTCCTCAAACTTCTCATGGATTTTTTTTTTCATTAATTCATTACCTGTTTGATCCCCTCACCTCAGCAAGGTAAATATTTCTCATTTTATACCAAGGGCTCACAGAAGTTAATGTGCCCAGGGSTTGACCAGCTGAGCAGAGGAGAGGTTGAGCTTTACTCCTGATTTTGCTTCTAAAATTTTGCAAGGCTGTCCCAACATCACTCTCTTTTTCTTCTCCCTTGGGAGTGTAAAAATGAAATTGTTATCCATTGATCAGCCRGAATCTTATCATAGTTTAGAATTTCAAGACTAGTGATAATAGAATAACACAACACACATATAAATATAAAACAAAGGCTTTGTTTGTGATTAGACAGATTCCTCTTGTCTGTGGGCCAAGAACAGCTAGGCCTTCCCAACCCTCCTGTGTTCCAGAGACATGTGACTTAATCTTGCTTTCAAGGAACTTTCTATTGCATGGTCTCAACACCTTGTCACTATTATAACAGCCAGATATGCCATCAAAAATTAAGTGTGACCAATGGTGTGTGCCTCCAATCCCATCCACAAAGGAGACTGAGGCAGGAGGATCACAAGTTTAAGACCAGCTCAGCAACTTAGTGAGACTCTGTCTCAAAAAAAAAAAGTAAAAAGGGTTCATGGGGCTGGGGTTGTAGCTCAGTAGTTCAGTGCTTGCCTCACATGTGTAAGGCACCAGGTTCAATCCTCAGCACCACATAGAAAAAAAATAAGAGATATCGTGTCCATCTACAAATAAAATAAATAAATAAATGAAAGATTTTGTGAAGTAGCTCAGTGATAAAGCACTCCTGGGTTCCTAGTACAAACATATATACACACACACCTCAAAAGTTTTAGGGTGTGATGGACAAAAGGACAAAAGCTTTGCCTTTATTAATTTTTTTTACGTGTGCATAAACCATTTTATCCCTCTAATTTTCAAGAATTACAAACCCAGCTGGTATCCTTGCATCTAGAGTGAATGCATATGTTAAGTAACCTTTTCTCAAATGAACCTGTTACCTGAGTGCTGATGGTGRCATGGCATCCCCTTGAGTAGATGGACCAGAAGTTATGTAAACACCTGCAGATTTTTTTTTAAACTGTTCATGAGCATGTGAGATATCCTTAACAATTATCATATTGAATAATCTGAACCTTCTAAAGTTTGTCTGATATGAGATGGGAGGGTGAATAATTCTTCCTACCCCACAAATTTGAAATGCCACCTGTGTGAAGGTGTCTGTTCTGTCCCAGCAGTGTTTCTCTTTACGCCATTTCGTGCCATCACTCTGTAGCATTGGTTCAGTAGCCACCTGCTTATTCCTCTTTCCTTGGCTCTCTTTCTACTGTTCTCACAACTATTTACATATTTCATTTTGAAGCAGAGAAATGCTGTAGCTCACCAAGTATTTGAGGTTTGGTTTTTGTTTGTTTGTTTGTTTGTTTGTATTCTTAGGAAGACTTTTAATGTAAGTCTTACCATTTTCTAAATCTGGGCTTTTCCTTTTAAAGAAATTAAATAAGATTTCCAGCTAATGAGTTGTTTTGATCTGTAATTCAGAGTGGCAGGAAAGTTGCTCATTGGGTGCTGGACCCTCATCAGCCCTTGGATTTAAGCAGTGCTTCCCCATGTGCAAGCCCTGGCTCTAAGGTTTTATTTCTAATAGTTCAAACTTTATTTATTTTTTTTATTTTTAAAGAGAGAGAGAGAAAGAATTTTTTAATATTTATTTTTTTTAGTTTTCGGCGGACACAACATCTTTGTTTGTATGTGGTGCTGAGGATCAAACCCGGGCTGCACGCATGCCAGGCGAGCACGCTACCACTTGAGCCACATCCCCAGCCCTCTAATAGTTCAAACTTTAAATGACTATTAATACTCCATGTTTGGCTTCAGGGTTATTAGTGTATATAATAGTAATAAAGTAGGAAATGTGTGATGAGAAATAAAACAGGAGAATTTCTGATATGCTTATAGCAGAAAATGTGACAGTGGTGTGTATAGGCCCCCTGGGAACTCGGGTGCAGCGGAGAGGGCATCAAGGCTCCCTCCTGGCCCACACAGAGCTGTTGCTGAAAATGGACCACAAGGTTCACTTGTAGTCTTGTGTGTAAGAAATAGAAAAAGACTATTTTTAACCCAGCTAAAATTCTTTTTTCTGTTTTTCTTTCCCTATCCCAGGGGACTGTGATTAGGGTGTTTTCCATTCCAGAGGGACAAAAACTCTTTGAGTTCCGGAGAGGAGTTAAAAGGTAAAATATATAAATCCTCCAAGTCAACTCTGGAGGTTTCATGGATTTCAGTTTCTGTCATCATTGACCAAACAGGTGTAAACTTAAACATCAGAGAAATTCCAGTTAAATATGGAAGAATTTTCTACCCACCTGGATCAGCAGTTCAGATATGGAGGTTAGTCTCTTTGTGGACCGAAAAGAACATTATTGTGGAAGCAGACTRGGTGTCCGTGTGTCTATGACCCACCTAATGGAGAATGAGAACCAGAGAGCCTGAGGGCTTGGAAAAACTAGAATGCCAGGAAGGGCCTGGGGCCTGTGGCCACCCATCCTGTTCCAAGGTGCTGGACAGCAGCCTCACCTACTCACCTACTGTTCTCAGCCTTCAGAGCYCTCATGCCCAGCTCTTCTTCCCCACAGCAGGTGGCCTTGGCTCTTCTAAAACCCCTGAGTCATTGTGTTTGGAGTCCCTTGGCTGTCCCACCAGGCCATGCACTTGGTGCTCCCTCCCTGTAGCTGCTTCGGAAGCAGGTGCACCCCTCCACCTGTGGGAGCCTAGCATCCTACTCAGGTCGTTTGGCCATTGCCACAGCTGGTTTGGGCAGCATTACCTAGCCCCTGGGTCCCCATTTCTCCCTCTCTGGTGGGAATGTGGTAAATGGTACCAGCCTCCCCAGGGCTTCCCAGTGACCAGGAGCCATGTTCAGTGTTCAGTAGTTCCTGACTGCACTCCAGGCCGCATGTCTCTGGGGACCTGGGTAGTCTGCARTCACTTCCCTCTCCTCAGAATGCCCCCACCCATGGAACAGACTCACTGTTCCCCTTTTGAAAGGCAAAGCCCAAATTCCAGTGCTAGGAACTACTTCCTTGGTTGTCTGCCCCTCATTTCCCTTAGTCTTCCTCACATCACACCTTTCTAGATGTTTCTCTGTGTGATCCTGCCTCATTTCCCTATGTCTAGTTTCTAGTGGAGCTTTTTCCCACCCATGCTATAAACCCCACCCCCTCCCTAAGCTTTGCCATCGTGTGCTGCTGAACCCAAGTCTGGACATGGAGCCCAGCCTCTCCTGAAATGGACCTGTTTCCCCTGCATGTCAGGCAGCAGGCCAGAATGTGCCCGTCTGCTCACATTCCTCAAATTCCATGTCATGGTAAATGGTCCAGATGATCCCCAGGGCCCARCCTTTCCTCCTCTCTCCCATCTCACGCATCCAGACAGCTCCTGCCTATCACTCCTCCCCCTAAGTCTTTCCTTCCCCCATGTGATCCCACCCCTGGTTCACATCACCTAGACCCCATTCACTCCGGGTTTGGCTGCTGATATGAATATAATCCAGCCACCATTCACCTAAAACCTTGACTGCCCTCCTGCTCCTGGAGCATTCAGCACACTCCTATGGAGCCCACGGGCCTTCCAGGATCTCGCCCCCCATCCTCCCTTACCTTTCTCTCACTGTCCCTCACATTCCCCTTTTCCAGCCTTGCTGCTTATTTAGGTTCTCAGTGGAGCGAATCTCTCTCTTCCAGGGGTTGGGGGTCTTGCACGWGCTGCTCCCTGTAATGGCTGACTTGTGTGAACCCTTGGATCTGAGCTGGGGTCCCCCTCTTTCAAGGTGGCCTTTCTTTGCCCCTTACATGAGCAGCTGCWCTGCTGTACCTCTCCAGCCCATCCACTCTAATGAGTGCATTCTGTGTCCTTGCTGGTAGCAGACTGACTGTCCACCTCTCCCCTCCCATTTGTTGCCAGCCCTGTAGGTAGAGACCATTTCTGCTTTGTTCACCCCCCAGAGCTTAAGTATGATGCCAGTTACATTGTAAGCACTCCATGAATGTGAAGAATTGTAGAAAATCCACCCCTTAAAATTATTCAGGGGTAACAGTAACTTTATTTCTAAGGTTATGAGAAAATTCCTATTTTTTATTTAATGTTTTGAGGTTTTTTGGGGGTTTTTTTTTGTTTTTTTGTTTTTTTTGCTGGAGTGTTAAAAATCGTAATTTTAAATTGCGTTTTCTTTTACTAACTTCAGTGTTACAGATTTATCCTAATTCAGCTAAAAATGTTTAATACAATCCTGATTCCCTTCATTGTTTGTATTCACAAAGAAAATGGACTGTTTAAGGATGTATTAAAGAATGTTTTCTTGCTGGCTACATTTTTCCTTCAAAGTTTTGAGAAATTGCTGGAGAGAAATAAAAAGGCATCAGTGACCTCAGTRTGCCCATGATGGGGGTTTTGCTCCATCCCTCAGTTAGGAACGCCTGGAGACACGGGCTTGCCACCTCTCACATGCTTGCTGTCTCCCCAGGTGTGTGAGCATCTGCTCGTTGGCCTTCAGCATGGATGGCATGTTCCTCTCTGCGTCCAGCAACACTGAGACGGTGCACATCTTCAAACTCGAGACTGTGAAAGAAAAGTGAGTCACATAGATAACATTTGTTTTTCTCTTCCGAGTGTTTTTTGGGAGGGCAGTGCTGAGGATGGAACCCTGGGCTCGTGCCCGCTAAGCACACGCTCTACCACGGACTTATACCCCCAGATCCCTCATTTGTTTTTTAAAAAATATAAAACACTCTGTCCCCACTTGTTGACTGGATGAAAGTAGCACAGAACCATTCTGCTTTTGGCAGCATCTGCCAGTCCAGGCCCAGCAGTACAAAAAGTTGTCCCTGTCCCACTGATATTATTATGTGGAAAACACACAGGAGAGTGAGGTCAGATTGAGGATCCAGATGGGTATCACCTGATAAGTACCTGTGTCCCCTCTCCACACCCTTGTAGACAAAAGCAGCTAGAATTAGACTGCCTCTGGGATGACCACCACGTCTCTGACATACCCAGAGGTCAGGAGGAGAGGGGGCGGTTTCCGTCTTTATAGCAGTTGGCTTAAATTCTGTATTGATGTGGTGAATGTGCGTGAAGGGGTTTTTGTTTGTTTAGTCTACACTTCTGTAATCTGGTGACTGGGGAAGCTGAGGCAAGAGGATCACAAGTCCAAGGCCAACCTTGGCAACTTAGCAAGACCCTGTCTTAATTCTCAGCGTCTCTGGTCAATTCCAGCCTGGGGGGGATAAACCCCACTCATGGCAGTGTTTACTGGACTATGACTGAGTCACAGGAGTATTTAAGACACCTTGAAAACACATAAGATGAACAGCCACCAAATGGGCTACAAGAAAGTGACTTGAGGTCACACTGAAGGTTTCTGGACACTCTGCTACAAGGATCCAGGATGGGGTCCTGATTAGATAACGTGGCTGCTCCTGCTTGACTGAGCAGCCCCTGACCCCCCCTGAGGACACTCCTCAGCGTCCCCAGGCCTGGGCCGTAGTTTATTTTCCACAGCCTTTTTGTGAAGAGTGGAGGATTTCTCATTCTGGTTTCAGGCTGTGTGTGTGAATGGGACGTGGCCGACTCAGAACCAGCCTCACATGTCTAGTGCTGTTTCCTTCCAGGCCTCCAGAGGAGCCCACCACCTGGACTGGCTACTTTGGGAAGGTGCTCATGGCATCCACCAGCTACCTGCCCTCTCAAGTGACAGAAATGTTCAACCAGGGCAGAGCCTTTGCCACCGTCCGCCTGCCATTCTGTGGCCATAAGAACATCTGCTCATTAGCCACGTGAGTGGGGATGGGCACTGCCTCCCTGGCCCTCTGCCTGTGTGTGCATCCCAACAGGGCGCTGTGTCCCAGTGCTCATTACTAGCTGCAGAGGTGGCGAGTGGCCCTTTGTTTGGTTTGGTTCCATCAGGAGCTGCACAGAGGGAAGAGCCACCGACTGCTCTGCTGCAGACACACAACTTGAATGGCTTTCTCTGAGGTTCCTGTTCGAAAAACATTTATTCTTTTCCATCTTCATTGAGTGTTTAGTGTTGATTACGTCATGCTGTAGGGATTTGCTGGTGCTCAGCCCTTTGGGATCATAAAAACAGCAGCATCGMAGTGGGAGGTGTCATGAGGCTTTCAGAGCACAGCTTCAAGCACACTCTCCTGAGTTATGTTGGGACTGTCCGCAGCATGGCTTCATGGGAAGGCTTGTTTAGAAAGTTCAGCAGGAGCAGACTACAGCTCTGTGAATCTTGTAAACATTATTTTCCATCCTTGTTATCAGACTAGCATAGTCTCTAAAGCTATCAGAAAWCATCACCCTTAACAATCAGAAACCAGGGCCTGATCCTGTTCTGCTGCTTTCTTGGATTCTTTACACATTCACCCTTAGGCCATGCTTGACCCTGCCATGCTGAGTCCCAGGAAGACAGCATGGTCTTGGTCCTCTTCTGCATAGGTGCCAGCTCAAGTGCAGGAGGCCCGGTCTGTGCTGTGTGGTGGGCAGGCAGCTAATTGGAGATGTGTTTTGTGAGAATCATGCTCCTAGAATTGGACTGATTTTTATTCTCACTAGAATTCAGAAGATTCCTCGGTTGTTGGTGGGAGCTTCTGACGGCTACTTGTATATGTACAACCTGGACCCCCAGGAAGGTGGCGAGTGCGCCCTGATGCGACAGCACAGGTGAGGCTGCTCCAACCTGCCACTGCCTACCTCTCCCTAGTGGCAAGTAGGTTTGTACGTTTCCTCCAATCCAGTGGCATGAAGCACAGATTCCAGCATGTTGGGTTGTGCTGCCTGCTGAGGTGCTCCTGTTCCCGGGTTTGCTCCAGGGTAGGGAGTCATGGCTGCTGGTTGGGGCACCTCCTGCTGGGGAGCGGCTGCATTTGCTTGCAAACTGGACATGTAGGCCTCTCAAGGGTGTGGGCACTTTGTGTCTGAAAACAAGAAAGGCCACACACAACATGGGGTCACAAATGCCTAGCATCTGCTATGGGATGCCTACGTGCCCTGTCTCCATTAACTGGGAGAGAGTGCAGTTAGATTTCCTGTTTTCCTTTGGGAGAGTATCCTAATAATGTTATTGTAACACATTTACAGACAGGTAGAAGTGGGATTTGGAGGCAGGGGGAGGTATTTAGGATTGAACCAGGGGCACTCCACTTTTGAGCTACATCCCCAACCCCCCCCCCCTTTTATTTTTGTTTTGTTTTGTTTTGGTTTGGTTTTTGTTTTGTTTTGGTTTTGGTTTTATTTTGTTTTGTTTTGTTTATTTATTTTGAGACACGGTCTTTCTAAGTTGCCCTGGCTGGCTTCAAATTTGAAATCCTCCTTCCTCAGCTTGGGATGACAGGCGTGTCCTACCGTGCCTAGCAGAAATTATTTTTTTTTTAACGTGAATTCTGTTGATRATCATCTGGCTTAAAAGTTAAATATGCTCGCCCTATATAAAAATCCAGTAAAACATCCACCAATGTGGGGCGGGGGTATTCAAAATCGCCATGGCATCAGGAATGCGTGGTGCTCCATCTAGCGAGTGGCCTGCTGCCCCCTCGCTACAGGTCTGGYGCCTCAGGCCCAGCTGTACCGTGACCGCACTCGTCCATCCTGGAAGCGTTGAGTTTGTCCTGGTCGTTCCCTTTTCTCCAGGCTGGATGGCAGCATGGAGACGACCAGCGAAATTGTAGACTCTGCCTCCCACGACTGCCCCTTAGTAACTCAGACGTATGGCGCAGCAGCCGCAAAAGGTGCCTACGTGCCCTCGTCTCCAACAAGACTTGGTAAGGGGCAGGACGCAAACCTAGAAGGTAATTTGTGCGGTGGTTCCTTGGGGGCAGGGGTCGGTTCTTGCACACTGTGCTTTCCCCAGAGTTGCCCGCTTCCTGCTTGCCARCTGGAAAATGAAGGCTTGTTCCTCGCTAGGCGAGTTTTTGTATACTGGTGTTCCCAGGTCCTGGCAAGATTGAATTTATTTTCTTCATTTTTGCAAAGAAAATAACTAGCAGAGCCCAGGTGACTCTGGGTGCACATGTGTCATGCCCCAGTTTGCAGCCCCTCAGGAGAGCACTGCCAGGTGTTTGTCCTGGATCCTTGTCCCACCTAGGTGATYGCTTGGCAGATTTCACATGGATTCCTTTGCATCAGTGGCCTGTAAGGGCAGAGATGGGAAGGACATGTCAGGCCAAATATAAGGCTCCCCCTGGCTGCAGCAGCTGGTCAGTCAGCAAACAGACAGCTGAGGTCACTGGCAAGGCCCTTTCTCTCGGTATGAGCTGACTTCCTCAAAGTCCAAGGGGACTCAAGTGGGAGACCTGGGGCTTCTTTCACACATGAGGTCATACGTGCTCACTGTAACCCCTTGGAATGCCCTTTCAGTTACATAAAACGCTGAATGTCTCTCGGCATTGTTTTTGAACATCTTGTGTTGTAACCAGTGTGAGAATCATTTTTGCTCTCCATTCAGTAGAGAAAATCTGCAGCTGTTCTGGAAGCTCTCACTTTGCAGGCCTTATTTGGACATTGATGAATTTTGGAAAATAAGCAGCTTTATCTTTGAGCTGCCTAAAGCTTCAAAAAAGCAGTTAAGATTCAGATACATGTACTTCAGATACATGGCAAAGTTTCCAAAGCCCAGTCTCTGGTTGGTTTCAGTGGGGTCTGTAGTTTGTCCCAAYCCACTGAGTTGGACCTCCTTATCTCTTTGTAGGCTACTCAGACGACCTAGGTGCCGTGGGTGGAGCATGTCTTGAGGACGAAGCCAGTGCCCTGCGCCTGGATGAAGACAGTGAGCATCCTCCCATGATTCTTCGGACTGACTGAACTTGACCTGTGAATTCTGACCTTAGGAGCAGAGAACACAGGCTTTACAGAGGACTTTATGCATTGCTGCTATGAACTTTGACCTGAATTGAGGGAGGATGGCAGAGAGTTTTTAAAACAAAGGGCGGGGTGGTTGTAGTGATAGTCTAACTCCAAACTGTTGGGAAAATACACTGTTTTCACTTCAGTGGCTTTTAATCCTGCTTATGAATTTTAGCTTTTTGGTTTCTTTTTTCTTTCTTTTTTTTTTTTTTTTTTGCCAAAATTAACTGTTTGGTGAAGCCCTCGAAATCTCCTTGCTTTGCATGCATGATGTGCCAAGCCCGGCGTAGGAGAGCTAGAAGCCACTTTATAACAAACTGCAGTTGTCTGGTGTTTATTGTCTGTGCATAGCGATGGGCGTGGCAAGCGAGGAAGGCGTGATGTCTGCARAATGGTTCTGGTTGTTGAGGCTGCTCCTGCCAAGACAGGTCCTAGCGCTGCCCACCTGGGGTCCACTGGGGTGCTGGCCAACATCAGCCTTGGACAGGAATCCTCTAGCCCTGCAGCCCCACCTAGACCATTTCCCTCCACTTTATTTTATTAATTAAATTTTTTCCAAATTGGATCATTCTGGGATTTCCTCCATGGTGGACTTTGTTTCTGACCTTGTTCTCTCTGTGAATACTGGAGGAGAGAGAGGTTCTCTCTGATGTTAAAACCTTCCTTCCTGACAGCAGGTGGACCTGACAGCATGCCTGGGCTGCCTGGAGCCACGGGAAGTGAGTTCAGATGTGTCATTAAATTCTCTCTTCTCCTCCTTTACTCCTGTCAAATAACTGTGACTTTTTTTTTTTTTTAAAGGAGAGTTTGTAGCTGCTCATGCCCAAGAAAGCACAAACATAAAATGCAGTGGGTATCTGGTTGTCCTTGTATTTGGGCTTCATTGTTAGAGGGGTCTTCCCCTCAAAGAAGTGCGTTAGAGGCAGGAGGCGGTGGCTGTGGACACTCCTTGCCCAGGATGACGTGTGCCTTTTCTGTTTCAGTCCTTCACAGCAGTCGTTCAGCAGAGTGGTAAGAGGCTGTGGTCACGAGCTGCAGCATTTGCCTAGCCTCCCTTTTCATTTTTACAGAATTAAAACAACCTCAGATACCTCAAACTCTGCATTCCAAACAGAGGCCCAGAGCAGTTAAAATTTTGAAGGCACTTAAGTGGAGTCGGCAGCACGGAATATGGTTTTAGGGCCTGTGGAGTGAGGTGCATTAAGGATGTAGGTAAAAGCACAGAAATACTGCATCACTAGCCTATGGAGCTGCCCAGGTCTTAGGACAGCAGGGACCAGAGGCACCATCTCAAGGCGGTCRAGCCATGGTGGTGCTAGGTGAACAACGTGGCAGGAACTGCCAGCCACGTTGACCCACTCAAGGCAAGCACCCCTGGTGTTCCTGGAGCTGTTTACAGAGTGGGTAGCTGGGAGGCAAAATCCTAAATGCCAGTGGCCCGGAGCCAGTTCTGGCTGCAGCAGAAATCTCTGGGGGAGCTGGTTGGTCAGTCACACAGAGTGTGATTTTATTAAGAGGTGAGAGTTGGGCATGTGGTGAACTTTTCCTTAAAATCCTTGCCTGTCTATCCTGGACCCTTGACAAAATGGGATTCCCAGCTGTGCAGCCTGGTGTCATGAGTGCGTGTCAGCACCTGACAGGCCGCTGCTTAGCCAGGAGAACAAGAAGGGCCTTAGCAGGACAGGCTTTCCCTGCACCCAGTCTCGTGGTCACCTRGAGGGTTTCTCAAGGTCTCTCCAGGACAAGCCATTGGTTCTGTCCTTTAGAGGCAGGGTGAGTGCTCATGGGAAGAGATTGTCAAAGGTGTGTAGGATTGATTTGGAAACCTAAGCTGGGTTTCCTGGAACCAAAAAGAACTGCCTTTTGGGCTCTATGTCACCATTATTTGGTGCCTGCTGTTGACTTTTATGCTCGTAGGGATTGGGGACCTGCAGTCTGCTTTACCTGGTTTCTTTCACCTTTCTTTGGGATTGGTAGTCCTAGGAGAGGCTGGGAATGGACTTCCGTCTCGGCCTCAGTTGGCTCCACTGTTCTGGGACCCCCCACCCCCACCAGGGCTGGCAGGTGCTTTTCCTCCCAGAGCACAGAACGCATTGCCTGTCTGGGTTGGATCTGGCCTGTGCACCCCAGAGAGGGAGGACAGGGATTCTCCAGAACAAAAAGGATTCACATCTTCTGCTGACTGCTGGGAGAGACTTGTCCGCTCTCTGATTTTCCTTTGCCTCATTTCCATGAGCCCCTTTTTCTCCATCATGAAACGAAGTCCCCAAGTCTCTGTAGGCCTTGGGTCTGATAGAAAGGGTGGGGAGAGGAGGAAATGGGAGTGAGGAGGTCGTCGGTGGAGCTCTCAGGACCACACCAGGAGCCAAGCTGTGAGGGGCTCTGACCCTCAGAACACTCAGACTCAACTGGACTCCGAACCACACACAAGTGTTAATTTTTAAATATCTTCCCAAACTTTAGAAAAGATTACAGGGGTGGGTACTGGAAACAAAACCCAGGAACTTACTTCATGGATTCGCATAGATTGGGACCAAATATTTTGTATTTTCTAAAATAATGGAACCAAGAGTCGGATTAAACCTGGAGTCAGGAAGAACTGGGTTCAGTCGCAATCCTGCCACTTTCCTAGCAATGCCAGAGGCAGAGAGCGCTGAGCCCTGGGGCTGGACTGTATGTAGGAACGACCCCTACCTCACAGGGTTGTTGTGAGGTATCATGTGACTGCGTGTCCTGCAGGCGCCCASCATGGTGCCTGGCCGATGCCTGGCGCCCAATAAATGCTCAAACTGAAACATCTTTGGAAGTGAAACGCATGTTTTTTGTTCAGCTCTACTTTCTGGCTTTTCGAGCTTCATGGGAGGAGGTGGGAAGGAGACAGTTCTTGTTGGTGACTTTGTGGGCAGCCCCCTGCTCCTTCAGACCAAGAATAAAGAGCAGACAGCATGGGTGGTCTGGGGGACAGTGACTTGGGAGGCGCCACTGAGTCTTGCAAAGCACAATTTGGGCTGGAGCTACCACCTAGAGCAGACTGGCCCTGCCCCTAAGGCCCAGGAGACGCATGGCTGCCACTGCCAGCCAAGGAGGGGTGTTGGGGACCTCCAAATCCTCATCTCCTCCCTGCAGCCAGCAGTGGCCCACGTGGAAGAGGCTGAAATGCTTTTGGTCACAGCCCAACACAAGAAAATGGGACTAATTGGGGATGGGAAATGTGTTCCTTACCGGTTCCCATTGCCACTCATGGCTTCCATAATGGTGTTGGCATAAAGATACATGTTTGTTTTGTCTAGCCCCTACCTTAACTCTTAGATCCTGCCTTCTGCATGCAGGAAGGACCAAATCACTTGTTTCAAATTTGTCCTGACACTGGCCAGATAATCAGATGGTTATTTTACAAGCGTGCTGTCCTCACACTCAAGGAGGCCGCATAGGGTGGAAGTAGAGAACGTGTTTGAGCCATTGGTGTTCTGCCTGGGAAGGGCACTTCATGCARTATTCTCTCATTTTGTAAATGATTTTTTTCTCATTGAAAATATATAATGACAGCCACTTGCCGAGCAGCAGAGTTTTCAAGTGTCCATTTTAGTTCCTGCCCCGGGGGTAATCCTTGGCCTATGCTGTACATTTCCATTCCGTGGATTTCGTGAAGCACAAAAACTCTGGATTTTGAGGCACAACAAGCTCTTATCCTTCCCTGGCATCAAGCTAGGAAAATCTTTGATTTGGAAAAATTAAATATTTATAAACAAATGGACTGTTTTGATTCCTTGCCCCTCAACTTTTTATTCTTAGTACTAAGTCATAATTTAAACATGTTCCTGTTTTACATTTCCTTTGTAGGTGAAGCTGTTGCAGGTGTTTCCAGATGTGTGGGGAGGAGGGGGACAGAGAGGCATCAAGACCTCAGGTGGATGTGCTTGCTGGTTTGCCTTCTGTGGGCACTTCATAGAAATTAAAACCTGTATTCTGATTTTTTTTTTCCACCAATCATTGTCTACTTGCAGGTTAAACATCTGTTTTTTGCCGTATTGCACCATAATTCTAAAAGTTTTACAGGAAGAAATCAGAATCCTGAAACCTGAAATCTAGAGCTTTTCATCCAGTATTGATGTTTATCCTTTGTGAAGTGGGTGACACTGGCCCTACCTAGGAGGTCAAAAGCTCTGACAGGATGGGCAGGAATAGGCAGGTGAATCCTCTAGGTGGCCCTGAGGCTGTGTGGTTTTGCTGGTCAGGAAGGCTGGCCTGCCTGTGTTGGGCCGCCCAGCAGCCTCATCTGTCAGTGTACCAGGTTTGATTAAAGTGCTTCTTTAATGCAGTGTTGGTCTGGCAGCTTCTTCTGGAAGCACACCCTCCATCCACTGAATTGCTTCATCCACAATTTTGCTCTGGCTTGGAGGGTTTGTACATCAAAGGCCTCGCGGCGTCTGTCTTGTGTCCTGTCTACTAACAACCCGCCATGTGTTAGCAGGCACCCAGCTCCTAGGCTGAGATCCACAGAGCAGCTGTCAGGTCAGTCCGCCAGCTCAGTGGCCACCACYGGAGGAGTCGCCAAGGCACTGTACACAGGAGTCTGTAGTTACAAAGTGCACAGGTTTCAGTTACTGCTTTTCAAAACGTTTTTTCTACTACATTAAATTATTTTGTGGTGGATCAACAAAGAGATACTTGTTGGAACAGCCAGACTTTTCCATAAGGGAATTTGAAGATGTGGTGACTTGGAGAGCAGGACAAGGTGGGGTGCTCAGCTGCCTTTGTCTCCCTTGAGGAGCCCCTGTTCCCTGCTACTGATCTTCCTGGTCTCCTTGGTGCCAAGTACCTGAGCCCAAGACATGAGAGCTCAGAGCGGAGGCCAGCAGAAGCACCGTGGTCTTGTTCAGAATGTCTGTAAGGAGCTGAGCTTGCGGGGCTGCAGGAATGTGCCAGAACAAGGCGAGGGCGTGTTCAGTAGCCGATGTGCTCAGCTCCAGCCACTGGTTTTTGAAATGAGGCCTTTGAGAAGTTCACTTCATGCCAGCCCTAAACTAATCCCATAAGTGATATAGAATTGAAAGGCACCCAGGGGGGTTTCTCCCCACCCTTGTATTGGTTGCGGAACCCACAGTACCGCAGTGACATGGTGGCAGCAGAAACTGTCTTCTGCATACAGCCCACCTCTGGCTGCCCTGCAGAAGTCTTGGCAACCCTTCTTTCTGTGGGCTGCCCTCATCCCATGGCCTGGCACATTGAGTAGAAATGCCAGGGCGCGTTGGCTACATATACTCCCGAGGGATGAGTATCCTAGAGGCCATGGCCTCTAAAAGGGCCAACTAAAATAAAAATGCTAACATGAGAAAATACATAACCCCTGTGCTAGGTCACAATCAAGCCACAGCCACAGCCTGTGCCTTGGAATTCTGCAGGGGAGCTTTTCCCTGTGGGGAGGCCAGATGCCTGGGCCGCAGGAAGTGTAGCGCCCTCTGCAGCTTGGTGAGGAGGCAGGCCAGGCCCGTAGCACTCCCCAGCGCCACCTCCAGGGCCATCTGGAGGAACACTGCCTGGGGCAGTCAGAGGACCCAGGAGATCCCCTAGTCTTAGGACTGAAGTGGAGGGACAGTGTTCCCAGCCACTGGGTGGGTGGGAGTCTTACAAGGTGCACACCGCAGGAGCTGGCCGGGTTGGCATGGCGGGGGTCCCCAGCCAGGCTGGAGCACCCTCACAGGGCGGCAGTCAAGCCCCAGTATCTTAGTCAGGTCTGAAAGAGCTCCCAATCACAAAGTGCCAGAAAGCAACAGGGAGAATGCTGCCCTGTGACAGGGGACCTGTCATTTCCTGTGCCCTTTGGGGCTTGTCTCTGAGASGCCTTGCCCTCAGGAGAGGAGCATTGAGACAATTGTACTGCACCCCATTTTGTCTCTGCTACCTCTCGGCTGTCAGATACAAGGTGACCTTCACCTCGGCCACCCCTCCTCACCTCCATTTTCCCCTCCCAGGAGGGAGATGGGATTCATTCATCACCAATCAAAATTGTCAAAATGGGCCAGTTGCCTGGTGCACGCCTGTAATCCCAGCAGCTTGGAAGACTGAGGCAGGAGGATCACARGTTCAAGGCCAGTCTCAGCAACTGCCAGCCCCACTAGCAAGTGCTGTCCACTCTGAAGCCAGAACTCCATGGTTGYGGTGTCCCCATGGGAGGAACATGGCCAGGCAGTCTTCTGTGCAGAGCCCACCCACAAGTGTCTGAGGAAAAGAAAACGCTTCCCAAACAAGAAGGCTGGGAGCAAACACAAATCTTCCCAACGGGAGACGTGGTCTGCTGTTCTGTCCAGTGGGGGCCAGGGAGTGTAGCACACGGGGCATAGGCTGAAGGGGCAACTGAACTGCAAGGCTCCAGCTCCGGCCAGAGGTGGCTCTTTAAAGACCATGTCTTCCCATCCTGATGAGTGTGGTATGAGCATGTCTCATTGCCCGTGCACAGTCACATCTGCTGCTGGTCCCTGGCAAGTCCAGAACTAAGTGACAGAATGAAGGACACGTGGTAGAAGTGGAAGCAAGCCCCTGGCTTTGGGGAAGTTTGCTCACAGTACATTCCTACCCGTCTGGTCCCCACAGAGACCGGGTCCAAGTGCCCTGAGAAGGGTGCTCATGACCAGAAGCAGGGCCTGTAGGCTCCTGGCACAAGGGAGTCCCTGCTGCTGTCGGGTGTGGGCCATAGTGGCTGGAGAGGACGACCAGTGCTTCATTCCTGCCCCCGCCCTTTCCTCCCATCCKGCTTCTGTGATCCCCTTCCCAGTGCTGTGACCGTCACCCCACCATCCACCCAGACATCTCATAGTCCCTTGCCCAGGCAGCCTGTCACACTTTCTCCAGGGGACAGAGCAGCTTTCTCAGTTCTTTTTTTTTTTTAAGAGAGAGAGAGAATTTTAATATTTATTTTTTTTAGTTCTCAGCGGACACAACATCTTTGTTGTATGTGGTGCTGAGGATCTAACCCAGGCTGCAGGCATGCCAGGCGAGCGCACTACCGCTTGAGCCACATCCCCAGCCCCAGCTTTCTCAGTTCTAATGGCTCTCAGGAGGGACGTGGCCACTACACCAACCCTGGCCTGCATCCCTCCCTCAGGCTGCTGCTCAGCCCACCATTATTTATGGCCTCGTTCACAGCAGCGACGCCCCCTGGGACCCTCCATTTGATCCTGAAAGCCATAGAGATGCTCAGTATTACTGTGGCTGGCGGAGTTATTCATTTGCTTAAAGTGGGCCCTGCAGCAGGGCTGGGGGCTACCGCTGCAGTGTCACCATAGTCCCTTCAATCCCCTGTGCTTAAGGCACGGAGCAGCTTTTCTGGTAGCTT